GCGGCAGACTTTTTTCTCTTATCAGGCTGTTGTCTGGCGATCTCTCATCTGTAGCGCTCTCTCGCCTCATACTCTCCTCTCCGCGCTTAGTCTCTCATTCCCTTAGCACAGCCGATTAGGAAGGTGAGTGAGCCCTTAACCTAAGCGTTTTTGACGGATTCTTTTCCTTTTTTTTACTGCCGGCCCATTTCGCACCAATACATTCGCATTCGTGTGCAAGAGCCACACCAATGTGATCCTGGGGCATGCCTTTAATTCTGGAGCAGAAGGTCCGGCCGATTCCTAGTTCCCCCGTCCCCATAGAGCACACAGAGGATGAGGTAGACCACACATGGTGTCATGCAGTCACCCTCTCCCCGCCGTTAGCGTAAATAACTCAGTGGGGGGAGGTTAGTGCAATCACATCAGCGACTACGACCTAATTGCTGCTTCAGGTTTGTGGGTGGGACCTAAGCCACCCTGACCAAACCACACTTGTGCACCAGTCGCTCTTGCAGCCAAACTGATTCCATTACTCACAAAACATAGGCAAAATGCTCCCTCCTATCATGATCGCTGGACGATTTGCCGTTTTGTGGGTGGTTAACCCATAACGGACGGCGTGCGCCACATGGTGGCGCACGACCTTCAAAATGATTTTTTTCTTTTTTGCAGCATTTCAAATAATACAGATATACCATTGTACACTTACAACCTTGGAGAATAACATGTTTCCAGGACCGGAATAGCTTTACTGATTGCAAATTTACAACGTCCCAATAAAACCATCTTCACGTAAAATTTCTTCCTATTATTCACCACACTTCAACAATAACAATAGTATTTCAAAAACAGTCAGACACGACGGTTTTTATAGTACATTAGCGATTTGCTCGATTTGAGCGATTTGCGCGATTTTCGCGATTCACGCGACAGGTCACGGAAATCACAAGTGCCGATCAATACTGCAAGGTGTTCTCCAATCCCGCCGCCACTTCTGCTTGATAGTGATGGCTGAATGACGACTGCTCATGATTCCACTTGTTTCATATTCAGTGTTTCAAATGTTCAAATGGGGCACTTGCAATTTTTGCGATCCGCGCGAAGCCTGCGACGGATCACAGGAATTGAAAGTGCCCCCATCACCCCTCCCTCCCCACCTTTTTCACGTTATAGGGCAGAATCACGGACAGTCGTATTTCAATTTTCACTGTCAAGCAGAATTCGCAGCAGGATTCAACGGCACCTCGCAGTATTCATCGGGCACTTCCAACTCCTGTGATCCATCGCAGGTTTCGCGCAAATCGCAAAACGCGCAAATCGCAAAAATCAGCGAAAGCTGCGACGGATCGCGGACTCTGACACCAGCCTAAGGGAACAGGACTAGAAATTGCGCGCAACCCGCTGTGAGGATACTCGAAAGAACATCCAGAGGCGCAAAACACACATAACTAGTAAAAACTAGGCTAGAAAATGAAAACGGTTACTCCAGAAAGCATTGCTGACTGCGAAGATAAAAAAGAAACAGGAGATACCAGAGGAAGAGGGATCTGAAAAGAATGACTAGAAATTGCGCGCAACCCGCTGTGATGATACACGTAACAACACACGGAGGCACAAATTACATAAAATCCCGTAAGAAAACCAGCTAATGACAAAAAACTACACCTTAGAAAGCATGGCTAACTGCGAAGATAAAAAGAAACGGAAGAAATTCGAGAAAAGTGGATACCTGAAAAGTATAACCAGAAGTTGCGCGCAACCCGCTGTGAATGAAAGAGCAATATCACAAGTGGCCTAACAGAGAAAACGAGAAACGAGATATTCTAAGGTTCTCGTAAAACGATAAATTTTAATGCGTGGTGTTGCTGTGGGCAGGAATGCAGTCAGTTTTTGAGAGAATGAAAAATTATTAGGTGTTGTAAGTGTAAGATGGATTCGTAGCTGCGACGTGGGAGTAACCCTTTCAAACTGCGCTAGAGACAAGTAGAAAGGAAGGTTTATTTAGATCAAAAAAATCAACAATAAAGACACAAACAACAAAGATCACGGGGCGATCGGAAGCGGGTTGTATCGATGGGACCGGACTACCAAGCCGAGGTCGGCAACCAGGTGCACGGCGCAATCCCTTCTCTATGGTGAGCCGCAAAGCTCTTCTCCACCGAGCCCACTAAGCTTTCCAAACAATTGGCCCAAGCACTGGCATACCGAGCCACTAAGGCTTCTCCACTCACGGCCACTAAGGCCAGCTATCTGAGCCACTGAGGCTCCACTAACAAGCCACTGAGGCTGTCACTCTTCAGCCACTAAGGCTACCTGACTGAGCCTGGGCCCTCTTTCTTACGGGCCGTACAGCTCACAACCAACTACACACTAAGGCACCACACAGATGCCACCGGAACACTGGAACGCTGGAATCTGGAACACCAGAGCTCTGGAACACCGGAGCTCTGGAACTGGAACTGGAGATGGAGATACTGCAAAGGAACCCGGACCCCTTTTATTGGGACCTTCCCGCGCCAATCAGTTGCCTCTGGCAAGGCGGTCTCCCATGACCACCCACGATCAACAACCACCGCCTCCTCCTTGGCCTACCGTGCTCAGATCAGCTGATCATAGCTGATCTCTTAAGGCATGCCTGTCTCTCCCTGACATGCCCCCCTCGCTGAAGTCGATGCCCTCATCGACCGCTTGACGCTTGGCCGTGGCAATTCGACCCTGTAGCAATTTCTCCTTGAATTGTTTTCTGTCTGCATCCATACGTGGGTGCGTTCTGCAACTTTCGGACGCACTTTCTCTTACCGCTTCTCTATGTCCCTTTCCAACTTTTGGCTTACTTTGTTCACCCTTCCGTGCTCTTCTGCGTCCCGCATTAGCCGTTTCTTCTGGAAAGGGTTTTACAACCTTCTCTTGTTGAGCACCGTGTACGCCGTGTGCAAAAACTCGTTTGCTAGCCCGAAGAACTCTATCGACCTTCACTGGAATATCCACACTGTACTGCTTTGGCACACGGCCTATCATGCGCTGTGGCACGTATATGCGCCCTACTGTCGTTCTCTTTTCTTTTGTTCTACCTGGATGGCCTCTGCCATCTTCTTCTTTTCCCCAACTATGGACACTCTAACACCTAATTTATTGAGGGCATTGGTTCCCAATATGATCTCTTCATTTTTACTTGGGCTAATGTAAAACGGCACAGAGGCCCGATTCCCTCCTTCCAACTTGGCCTCCACGTATACTGCACCGAGAAAGTCAATCTCCTTATTCGATGCGTCCAACACAGGAGCAAGCTGGGATTTCTCAACCAATTTTAATGCGTCCACGTCAAATCCTCTATCTCGCGCTTTAGCTAAAATCTCCACAGGTATTACACTGACCATTGAACCTGTGTCCAACAATGCTGGATTGTTACCTCCGAGCAGCCTTAGCTGCTTTACGATTCGACCACCTACTAGGTCTCTATTTCCACATTCTTTCTTTACTGTCATCTCCAGATTGCGAGCTTGTCTGATGATTTCTGACACAGTCATCTCACCTTTAAGCTGGTTCACCCTTGCTGATAGTTGCGGACAATCTTTAGCTATATGGCCAAACTTAGAGCACCTGTAACACTTTCTGTTTTCAACGCTCTCTCGCGAGGATCCCTGCTGGCTACGCTTACTTTGCCTTGTCTGCATGTGAAGCTCTGCGCTGCTACTTGTACCTGCTTGATAGTCGCTCTGCCAATAATTTTCCCTTATTTGAGGACTCTCTCCTTCCAGGTAATCCAGCTCATTGTTGGAATACTTGGCTCTCTGTGATTTACCTATACCACCGTGGTCGCGGTACTGCGCAGCTCTATTTTTCCAATGGCTTACACCCGTTCGCCTACCTCCACCAAACATAATTTTGGACTGCTCTATACTCAACGCCAACTGCTTGATTTCCTCGTATGCTCTGCGAGGATCCACTCTGTGCAAAGCTCCCACCAATTGGAAGTGTTCGGGCCAATCACTGAGGTTATCTAGGAGGATCTGCGCGTATTCCAACGAGCGATCCTCAATAGTACAGTCCGGGTTGGCCTGTTTTCCCAGTTTTTCCAAAAGAATACAGAATTCGGCCACCTCCTGGTCGGGCCCCATTTTCAGGCTCCTCAGTTCTGTGAGGGCTCTTAACCTTCCTGCTGTCGACTCTGCGACAGAAGCCTGGCCATCTCTCTGATGACAAAATCCAGACCCCGTTCCTTTGTCCTCTGAGGCAGGGCAGTGAACCACGCTCTTTGCTCGACCCCCTAGGTGATCGTCACCCAGGATATCTATCAGGGTGGCTTCGCACCCTATGACCACCTGATATTTTCTTTTGAATCGCCTCACGAATTCTTCAAAGTTCTCATTTCTAGCACCGGTGAAGACCCCAGGGTCTGCGCAAGCCATTGACCTGAGGTACGTCAGTAAATTCTGAGATACTGACGCATCTCTATCATCCCGTGTAGGTAAGGTCGAAACCCGGCGACTGAGAACATAGCCAGGTATCGCCATACTCCTCTTTTGTCGAGGGCCCTGTTCGCCACTGGACGCCTTGTCCTTCGCCTAACACTGCGCTTGGTTGGCCCAGCGTGTTCTCGGCCCTCATCAACTCTTCTTTACTCCTCCACTGTCTTTGAAGAGCAGCTATTTCTCCCTTAACGTGGACCACATCTGTCCTCAACATTTCACAGATATCTGCCATTGTTTCCCCATCTTGCTCCATGGTTTAAATATTCTTTCCAATCGTCGGCAGATTCGATCCCTCTTTGCCTCAGGGTTGCCGCAATTTCTCTCTCTAAAAACGAAGGCAATGGTTTCCCTCTTTGATTTTTGCCCCATAATTCTCCTACTTCTTCAATAACTCTCGTCCATATGCCTTCCACCTCTGTCTTGGCCTGACCGGAAATTCTAGACTTCCCAAGAACCTCACTGGTTCTCCGTTGGGCCTCACGTAGATTTCGGAGACACATCTCCCACTTCATGGCTCCCTGTTTCATCTGGGATCATTTGATCCGTAGCTTTCGATTCACGGGGCACTTGATTCTCCTCCCCTACTCCTTCGACCTCCATGGTCTAGATCTTCTGCTTTTTTTAGGCGTTTTCTTTCTTAAACCCTCTGTCAGATCTCTGCCGGCTCCTCTTCCTTCCGGAGTCGTCCTTGTGTTCACCTTCCTTTCCGAACTCTGCACTTGTCTCTCTTGCTCAGTTGCTGGTTACTCGTTTTCGTCGCAGTTGGTTCGGCCCCCATGTAGTGTAGGATGGATTCGTGGCTGCGACGTGGGAGTAACCCTTTCAAACTGCGCTAGAGACAAGTAGAAAGGAAGGTTTATTTAGATCAAAAAAATCAACAATAAATACACAAACAACAAAGATCACGGGGCGATCGGAAGCGGGTTGTATCGATGGGACCGGACTACCGAGCCGAGGTCGGCAACCAGGTGCACGGCGCAATCCCTTCTCTATGGTGAGCCGCAAAGTCTATCTCCACCGAGCCACTAAGGCTCTTCCCAACTGGCCACTGAGGCCAAATCACCGAGCCACTAAGGCTTCTCACTCACGGCCACTAAGGCCAGCTATCTGAGCCACTGAGGCTCCACTAACAAGCCACTGAGGCTGTCACTCTTCAGCCACTAAGGCTACCTGACTGAGCCTGGGCCCTCTTTCTTACGGGCCGTACAGCTCACAACCAACTACACACTAAGGCACCACACAGATGCCACCGGAACACTGGAACGCTGGAATCTGGAACACCAGAGCTCTGGAACACCGGAGCTCTGGAACTGGAACTGGAGATGGAGATACTGCAAAGGAACCCGGACCCCTTTTATTGGGACCTTCCCGCGCCAATCAGTTGCCTCTGGCAAGGCGGTCTCCCATGACCACCCACGATCAACAACCACCGCCTCCTCCTTGGCCTACCGTGCTCAGATCAGCTGATCATAGCTGATCTCTTAAGGCATGCATGTCTCTCCCTGACAGTGTCCACATACTCAATAGTACAGATGTTCGACGTTCGATGAATCTTGGCATCGTGTGTGGTATTCTCTCACTCGAGCGGTGGTCTCAGCCAAATCCTACCGTTCACCTAAGGCTCTGACGAAGGCGACCAAGCCGAAACGTTAGCCGAATAAAGTCTCGAAACATCTTGGCTTGTAGCTTTAGAAGCAAATCTAACTGAGAGTCTGTCCACATAATTTTGGTACGCGCTGTATAGCATGAAGAAGAGAACGTCTCTGATTTCACTTAGCCCAGCTATGGGCGGCTGTATTGTTTTTACCAGCAGTGTACCATAGTCACTTACTTCACAGCGCATGAGTTCACGTTGGAAAACTTTCTCGAATATGACGTCGACCTCAACCTTTCTTGGGCTTACTTCTTTCAATACTAGGCGATTTTCTATAAATGGCACTATTAAAAGATCTGGAGAAGTTTTCAATCCATGGCGGCACAATAAAGAAGAATGTTTCAAAATGCCGCGATAGACTGGTGCACGGTGGATGTTCGAGGAAATACGATATTGACTACAGGGTTTTCCTATTTTAGCATTAGTAGCTTCATACATTATTCGACTAAAATTGTTCTGACATGACGCATAGAGGTTGTTAACTAACACCGGTAGTTTCGCATTAGGCGGCGTGTATCAAGCGGCAGGCTTCAGCGAAAGTGTGCTGCCTATGAAACGATCAAATAACGCATTTCACGAGGCAACTTACTGTTGGATACTTAGCAGTGGAAATTAACGCCCCACAAGCTGTCCATTTCCACCGAAGTCGTGTCACGCGTACGGCCGAGTGCGGAGCTAAACTGGACAGAGTATTTTGTCCAACGAGGTGGGGGACATCTGCCGCTGACCAAAGAAAGCACGTTAAAACGGTAACGTCTGTCAACGCTTTCAGGTAGCTAACGGAAAATTCATATCAACAATTGTAGAATCTGCTGAACCTTTCAGAAAAGCAGTAATTAGCGATAAAGGATCTCTCAAAACTAAATAATACAATTCAGCTTCCTTTTAGTGAGAGCTCCATTCGTAGGCGAATCATTCAACCTTTTTTAAAATTTTGTGTTTATTCACCGACTGTGTTATTTCGATCTATCGACTGCCTTCTTTTTAAGCAGATATGGTAACCGCTGACATGTTCCCTTTGTTATAGCCGCCCAAACAACTTGTATGTATCGTAGTATGCCCTCTCCATGCTCCAAGCGTTACATATTTTCTATATTGATGGGAAGTAGGCTTCAGCAAGTTGGCATGGAATGCAGAATAAGTTTGCTAGTTAGCAGTTTAGTGCAAAGGGAAACACTGTTGTCAAGAGCTCGAGTTGTTAGAGCCGAAAAAGCGTGACATGCAGTATTATACATGAAGGCCTTCGAGAGAACTCGTCTATCTTAATTCAATAAATTGGTCCGCTTCTATCGATACTCAGCATTTTCAAGCCAGAAACGATTTCTCCCAAGTTTTCTACCCGTTGAAATGCTGATTAAAAGATTCCACCATAGGGTCCAAGGTCGAAGAAGGGAAAGCTTACCAGGAAAATAGAAAAGTGGAAAACAGGCGGACCCCTAGGGTGCAGACCGGCACGCAATTTGCAGCGGATGATACGCCTTAGCGATGAAGCGTGGCACCCCAGCGGCGCACGCCCACCGATTGCAAACCACTCTCCGCAGTCCCTAGCCGTTTAGCAGAGAGAGCGTTAGCGTTGAAGAGGGCAGCACCGATGAGAGTCGCATCATGCGGAAATCAACGGGCAAGGAAGGGTCCCATTTCTCGGGTTTTGGGCCGCTTCCCTGTTTTTCTTCTTGGCACCTCTGACAACCTCTACCTTGGTTCGAATAGGCTACTTTCTAATCGTATAGTCTTTAATGTCGAGTGCACGTCGACGTCCGGCTTGCTCCCAAGAGAGACGAGTTTTCTACGACGATTGAAGCTCTTCATTCTATGGAAAAGATGATAATGCAGATCTTGAGACTACAAGATCGTGTCGCCAGGAATCAATTTATTCAGCTAAATTCGGGCTTCATGATTCTAGAGTTGCACTTTGCATTTTAGAGTTGAGGTTGAAGGCGGCTACAAGGTTGAACCACTCAACAATATGCAACTCTCCAACCCGGTCCTGAACCTCTAGGACTGTCAGATTTGCCATAGCCTTTTACATAAAATTTTATCGCTTCATGGTTCCACGATCTCTATTTGGATAGATAAACTTAAACCAAAAAAACTTGCCGTTATTTTTCGTTCCATCTGATGGAAGATTTTGTTCGAATTGATAATATAGAGGCTCAGAGTGTGCAACCATTTCGTCTTTCTCATTGTAAGCGAAACGTTGAATGATATACTCTGCTGGCTCCTTTCTTGGTATAGTCTGAAGATGACCATTTGCAATTTGAGCCAAACCCTAGAATAATATCAGATCTTGCCGTGTAGGTCACGTTGTTGTTCAAGTCTATCGAGTATTCCCAATTAGAGTATTTTATGCGTCGATACCTAAACACTGACTAGAATTACACAATATCAGATTGAAATCTTACGTCGAAATGTTTTCTCATGCACTAGATCTCTCTTCGATGGAAGGCTACAAAATGTTCACGAAAAATCCTTGTTTCATGATTTTTCTCGAATTACGTAGTTGGTGTCAGACCCGACGAGGACAAGGAAATGACTACTATCACACGTACTGGTACTCGCAAGTCACTGTGAGCTAAATTTTATTCAAAGAGAAGTGGAAGTCAAAAAAGATTGGTCAACACTGAGTGTTTGATCATCTGATGTTCATCGGCTTGAAAAGGCACGCTACACCGCGCTTTACCTGAGATTCTGTGAAACTCCGTCAACTTCCATAACACACACTATTTATTTTGTTCATCATTGAAATACATCTATGTACTGTGAGAAAATACGCCTCTATTAAAACGTTGACAACATGCGCATTTTGGGTTGTCTATCCTCTTAGATCCGGTGACTTTGAAGCGAGAGGTTACGAGAAGATCGGACTGGGTTCATGGTGAAAGTG